TTCCGAGACTCTAAAACGAAAAGGATCCAGGCGGCGTGAAACGGAATGGAACGGAAGGTGTAACAACTTATCCTACTTCTGCACGAACCCACGAATTGGAAATAAAAGGTTTTCGTGAAAATTTTTGTACCTTTCGGGATATCTACGGTTATTTTCACATTCCCACACTGATATTAACGATCACCCCGACCCATCATGGAAAGAAAAAAGGTTTTCAAACGAACAAATTTAAATGAATTTGTGAAGTTTTCTTGGCTCTGCATCTCCTAAAATAACTACAAAGATCGAGGCCGCGCGAAACAACATGTCCCTTTAGCGACCTGGTACAGGCTCGGCCAATCCCTGGGCTCATTCCGACCCAGTATTAGCAAGGTGGCGTTTTGCGCGTAACGTATTCTTAAAGGAGCGCGGTTCCCTGTGTTTCGATGGTTTGTTTATTTAAATTAGTCAGAGCAGATCCTCTTCGGTAAATCATTCGAACGATATTGCAAGTACATATAAAGTAGTAAAGTCAGTAAATGGTTCTTTAGAAGCAAAACATGCTATAACATTTCCACGATTATTATCGATAACTTAAAATGTTTGCCTCTGCTATTGTTCGTGCAAGAAGCGGTTAATAGTCGCACAAAGGTCAAACCCAAGCAACTTGTTTGATTTTTCTCTCTCGTGCCAATAAGTTGCCCATATTTTTACTTCTCTTGTCAAACCTGCTATAAGAGCCCTACATTCAAGTTAAATAGTTAACCGTTAATTGAAATAACATAGAAGGATAGCTCTTTAAGGCGGTATTAATGGTTTATGGTAAAATATTATGATAAGCTGGAAGGAAGGACCCCTTAAGCTTTAGAAATACAGAATCCATCTAGCCAGTGAGATTCTTTAGAAGAATATCAATCAATTTTTAATCGACTTCATCCTCGGCATCGCCGTCGTGGTTGCTTATTTATAAGCTCCCTAATATTCAGTTCTTGAAACACTATTAGAGTTCGCTGTCAAATTTTGCGGGAAAAGTTGACCTACTGTCGAACAGTCGAATAACCTCTGGGTGAGACGCGAAATCGATCGCTTTGCAAGTCGTGAGAGCATCGTTGTTTGGTCCCAGACCTCGTTTTTTACTACCCCTATCCCCGCGGTGTTTCTTCTCAAAAGGGTTTTCTTTAGCAGTTTACAAAAGGGTTAAAAAGTTTTTTTTTTGCATAGATAAACAGTGTGTGTTCAAGTCTTTTTTTAGTGCATAGAAAAACAGTGACAACTTTATTCCATCCAATGATTTTATTACGTATGGTTTAAAACCACTTCAAAATTTAACTAAAAAAAAAACTCAAAAATTACTTCAGTTATGACAACTTTATTCCATCCGTTATGATTTGATATTAGCCGGCTAAGTGTAGCGGGACACGTCTTCCCTCAAAAAAAAAAAAAAACCGGAGGGAAGGAAACGTCTACGAAAAGGTGGTGAGTATGGTTACAGAAAGGCTAATTTGATTTTGCACAAGCACCGCGTTTACAAAAAAAAAGAAAAAAGGGCTACATAGTGACTAATAGCTGTTATTACAGAATTTTGGCCAAGTACATTGAAGTTTGATAAACACAATTTAAAAGAAGTTAGGTGTTGGGTATGGACAATCTACGAAGTTGAGCGATCGATTCACCGTTTGTTGATTGAAACCCAAAGCCCTTTGGTTTTGTTTGTAAGCCGCCCATTCATCTATATAAACCAAAGAGTCTGGTTGCACGTTTCTTTGAATAATCAGCAATAGTGTAGCAGCATTTCACCCTTTGACATGATGCAAATATGGTCTAACGATGTATCGAAAAGCCCAAGAATCCATCTCTCTCCTCGAGGTCGACGTCCCCTTTGGTACTACTGAGACAGAAGTGCACACAATTTTCATTAAAAAGTGTAGTCTACGTGGAACAGAGGAAAACTAAGCAAAACCGTTTGAGCAGGTGTAGGCCATTAATAGACGGAGAAATGATCTAAGACATCTAACAGATGTTACGTTATGTCAAAATGTTTGATACCGAAGAATGACCTGGCTAAGAAAAAAAATACCTAAAACAATTTAAAACAAACGCATACGAGATATCGAAGCGTATCTTTTGGTGAGCATGGATATGTGGACACAGTTGTTTTCGAGCGTCTTGTTGTCGGGTTTTAGGTGATTTGTTCTCCATTATTGTACTGACCGTTTTGGATTACAATAAGGAACATAAACGTCGCTAGACTACCCACAGTCCCTCTTTTGCTCTAAAATCTGTGGGCGGTACACTTTTCTAATAGTCCGTCCCCCAAAGGTCTGCGTTCATTCTATATGCTAACCTTGGACTTGTGATTTTGGGTCAAAGAGACTTACCAGGTATATTCACTAATCTTCTCATACAACATGGAAGAAAAGCCCTAATCAAGAATCACGAGACATATTATTCAAGGAGAAAAGTGCGTATGTCACCTTAAAATTGAAGAAAGCGCGCGCCAAACCCGTCTATATTACAACCAGAAGTTTTAAACACTACAGTCCTGTTGATTTTAGCAACGACGTATCACTGGCACCGTGGTCCATAGTTGATGTTTTCGACGATGTCGAGGACAAACTTTATGCACTCGATTCGCTATTTACTGAGATACTCGACCGCCATGCTCCAATTAAAACCTTCAAAGCACGCTGTAAACCAAATCCATGCGTAACAGACAACATCCGGGGATTGATGAAGACCAGGGATGATTGGCGTAAGAAAGCAAAGAAAACAAATGATCCGCTATCTTGGACTGCCTACAGATATTTCAGACAGGAAGTAAAGAGGGAAATCAGAATTGCTGAACAGGAATTTGTGGCCCAACAAATCCAGAGGAATCCAAATAACACCAATAATATCTGGAAAGCAATTCGCCAGTGCATCCCCTGCAAATCTACATCTCAGCGAACATACAGTAAGAGCGACAAAGCTGTTGCAGACGAATTTAATCAGTTTTTCGTATCTGTTGGTCAGAGCACTGTTGACAAAATTACGTCCCTGGCTAATGAATGCAACCTAACACTTAATCAGAACTATTTTGTACCGAGACAATACGCTCTCTCTGACCAGTTCACACTGAGTACCATTGATTATAAACAAATAGAACGTATAATAGCAGCGATGCCTTCAAACAAGGCCCCAGGGATAGACAAAATCCCGATTCGCGTGTCATCAAGGATTGTCTTAATCCAATTGTTCACCCAATAACGTCTATCGTTAATGCATCCTTTCAAAACTGTGTTTTTCCAAAATCAAAATGGAAGACAGCTGAAATTTGTAAATATCTCTTGATAAAGTAACTCTTCAATCCAATTGTATTATATATCTTGATAAAATTGATTATTTAATTATTCAACGGGCGACTTTGAACAGGCAAACAACTTGTTTTAGACCCATCTCACCTTACACCAGTCTTAAAAAAGGTTTCCCAAAAAAGGGCGACCAGGAACAGGCAAACAATAATAGACCCATCTCACCACCAGTCGTATTTGCAATCGAATGATCAGCTCACCTCGTATCTGCAATCGAAAACACCCTATCAAAAGCCAAAGCGGTAACAAGAGATGGCATTCGTGTGAAACGTCTGTGATTGAAACAACTGACACAATTCTTAACGCGATTGACAAAAAGAAGTTAACGGCAGTTGTTCTATTAGATATGAGCAAAGCTTTCGATAGCGTCAATCACGACACGTTAATTTTAAAATTGCAAGATGTCGGAATTTCCAGAGACGCTCTCCAATGGTTTCGTAGTTACCTAAGCAACAGGACACAAGTAGTACGAATCCATTCAACGCTATCTGAGCCTTTGTCCGTGACCAACGGCGTCCCTCAAGGAAGTATCTTAGGCCCACTACTATTTAGCATATATACGAACGATCTTCCATCGATCCCACAGAAATGCAGCACTCAGAGTTATGTAGATGATACGAAACTCATCACTTCCTTCGAACTTAAAGACAACCTGGATGCAATTGCTGATTTGGAAGACGACTTGTTTAAAATAGGAGAATGGTGTTCCAACAACCAATTGTTACTTAACCCTGGCAAAACCAAGCTGATGATATTTGGCAGCAGGCAGATGCGTGCAAAATTGCAATTTCGCTCCCTTTCCATTATGGGTGAGGACATCGTCCCCGCAGACACCGCCAAAGACCTTGGTGTGATTTTGGATTCTAATTTAACTTACGATGAACACATAATTAAGACCGCTTCCTCGTGCATGTCCCGCCTCGGCCAAATAAACCGTGTCAAGCATGTTTTCGACAAACGTACACTTTTGATGATTATTAATTCCTTAGTTTTCAGCAGGTTATTTTATTGTTCCAATGTTTGGTCAAATACCTCAAAATGTAATGTTGACAAGTTACAGGCGGTGCAGAACTTCGCATGCCGCATTGTTAGCGGTGCGCGTAAATTTGACCACGTTACACCAATTCGCAAGGAACTAAATTGGCTTTCAGTTCAAAGCCAGCTTTACTACCGGAACGCTACTATGGCCTTCAGATGCATGACTGGCCAGGCTCCAGATTACCTCTCATCAAAATTCATAAAGCGAGCCGAGGTTAGTCGACGTAGCACCAGAAATTCGCAGCTTTTGCAAATTCCATTCTTTAGAACAGCTAGCGGTCAGAGAACATTTTTCTATAGAACTGTAAACTTATGGAACTCTTTGGATAATTCCCTTAAACTGTGCAACTCCGTTAAGGTTTTTAAAAAACGTTTAAGGACCAAATTACTCAAAGAGTTGTAATTTTATATATTTGTATGCTTTTATTTTTCTTTTAGAACATTCAGATTTTAAAACATCTTTAATTGTAAATAGGATTTTTTAATTGTAATAGGATTATTTTTATAACATTGTCTTTGAAAAGCCCCCTTGGGGAAAGTCAATAAAGTATGTTGTTTATGTTGTTGTTGCTTAAGTACTACGGGAAAGTCAGCGGTACTCCAGTCAAACACTGCAGTGAAATATTTCTTGGCATGATTGATGATCAGGAAAGTACTAATTCTATTCTTGTCGTTGGAAAAGCAGGGATTGGGAAATCCCTGTTTTGCCAAAAGGTGATTCGCGATTGGGCCAACAACAAATTACTTCAAGCTCTAGAGAGCACTGAAATCCCCAATTTAAAATTTGTGTATTTACTTACTTTCCGTCAATTGAATTTGCTTGAAAATAACTGTGTGACTTTAAGAGAAATCTTAAATTGTTGTTCGACACTGGATGACAAATGTAACATTTTCTCAACTGCTTAAGTTGAGTATATACTGCGATGATCTTCATTTGCTTAAAATGTATTTTCCGCAGTACAAATATATGACTTTCATGTATTCTTATCACACCTTCTCCATCTACGGGTATATAAAGAACTCACAATTGACCAGCTCCCAGTTGGCTTGATAGCTCAGTTGGTTAGAGCGCTGCACCGGTATCGCAGAGGTCATGGGTTCGATTCCCGTTCAGGCCTGAATTTTTTTCAGGCCTTATTTCTCAACTGCTTAAGTTGAGTATATACTGCGATGATCTTCATTTGCTTAAAATGTAACATTGATGACTCTACATTTGAGTACATTGTAAAGCATCCCAAGGAAGTTATGATCATCCTCGACGGCTATGATGAGTATTCACAGCAAGACTACATCGCTGGAAACTTAGAAGAACAGCATCCCAATGACGCTAGACGTAAAATGCCGGTGGCCGCATTATGTTCAAAACTCATCAAAGGAAAAATCTTGAAAGAGGCTATCGTCATAATTACCTCGCGACCTGATGAATCAAACAAGACGGGAGGAAGCCGTTTTAAACGATGCGTGGAAATTGCGGGATTTTCATCAGAACAAGTGAAAGAGTACATTGAGAAATACTTCAAAAACAAAAAAAAATATGAAGAACGCTGTACTTAAACATGTCATGAACAATGAGAACCTTGTCAGTTTTGCTCATATTCCTATGCTCTGTTATCTGTTGTGCTTCGAGATGGAGTATACCTTTAGCAAATCAGAAAATCCTCAAGACCTTCCTGTCTCAACAACCGACATTTACACCAAACTTGTTGATATCTTTGAACTTAAGCACTGCGCCGAGTCAGAATACAGACAGAAAGAAATTCCTGAGAAATTAAAGCACCCTCCTGTTATCAAGAACACATTAGAGAAATTATCAGAACTAGCGGCTAAGCTGCTGCTTGTAGGAAAGCCAACTTTTGATGAAAGCGAGATGGAAGACGACTTTGAGCGGGAAGAAGTCAGCAAACTGAAAGGTAGCGGTCTTCTTTACTGTGGTCAGCCTTTCAGGACTGCACTGATTACAACCACGAAGCACTTTAGCTTCACACATCTAACCGTCCAAGAATTCTTGGCTGCTCGTTGGTTTGTTAAGGAAAATTGTGTTCCAGACGAAGAATGCTCTGAAATGGTTTTCCAATTCATGGCTGGTGTGTTGTCAAATGAAGGAAACGAGGAACTGATGGAAAAATTATTAGATTCACCCTTTATGCATCGTAATCTTAAAATGACGTGTCTGAATGAGTATCAAAACAAAGAATTTGCCAAAAAATTCATCAGGAATAATCCGCAAGCCTTTTGTAATTCAGACGGCGTCTTGGCTTTAAAGGATTTTTCTGATGTGGACTGCATTGGAGTATCATTTGTGTTGGACATTATCAGTGAACTAAATAAAGAGGAAGCTGGAGAGGCACAACACAAATGTTCTGATAAGTTCGTCACAGTTGAGGAGTTAGAACTTAGCGAATCACAGCTAACACTGTCTGTAATTCACTGAACAATGAACACTGTCTTGTGTGTGAACTGAACTTAGTCTACATTTACTTGACTGATGAATGTGTTGATGTTATTAATAGATTAGTAGTAAGGAAGTTAACCACATTAAGTCTAGTGACCGCTGGGATCACTGTAACCAGTGTGGCCAGTCTGTGTGAAGCTTTACAGGATCCAAGCTGTAAGCTAACCACACTTAATCTGCGGGGTGGTTCTATCACTGATACCAGTGTTGCCAGTCTATGTGAAGCTTTACAGCATCCAAGCTGTAAGCTAACCTCACTAAATCTGGGGATTAGTTCTATGACTGATATCGGTGTTGTCTGTCTATGTGAAGCTTTACAGCATCCAAGCTGTAAGCTAAACACACTAACTCTAACGCAGAATCGCATTACTGATACCGGTATTGCCATTCTATTTGAAGCTTTACAGCATCCAAGCTGTAAGCTAACCACACTAAATCTGGGGAATAGTTTTACCACTGATACCAGTGTTGCCAGTCTATGTAGAGCTTTAAAGCATTCAAGCTTTAAGTTAACCACACTAAATCTGCCTTCGTTTCTTAGTTCCAAATGTCGTGCAATTCTTAAAGCTATAACTCAGAGACACCGACCAGCTTTAAACCTGTCTTTTGAGGGTCTTTGAAGTCTTATATAGTTTCATCAATTTTTAGTAGATTTTTATATTTAAACAAAATAAATATTTGCAAGTCAAATCTTAATTTTGGGTCAAAGAGACTAACCAGGTAGATGAAGTATTTTTAATCACCAGAGTGAAAAACAACGCTTAATGTAAATAGAACCGCAAATATTTTGTAATAAAGGTTTTTTTTTACTAGCGACATTGTTTACTGTACTTGGTTTCTGTGTGTAGACCACTCGAGTGGTGACAAGTAAGACTTGGGGTCGGGGGAGGGTGGGAGGGTAATCTTCCGAGAGGCTACTGGGCATCTAAGGAGGCTTTCGGACAAGAAAATTTAGTTAAAGTTTCTCGAGGTAAGAAAAAAGAGGAAAATGTCTTCCCGTTCACCCGATTCTGATTTAATTTTTGATGAAATTACACCCTTCTAAGTACTGCCAAAAAAGAGATGGTTTTCTTGTTGTTTTTTTTTTTTCAATAAGCAACAATTTTTCGTTTTAACTGTCCGCCATTACACTGTACCGATCATTGAAAAATATTTTTCATCCTCGTTTAAGTTGTTCAGCTTTGTTAAGTTAAGTTCCAGACGAAGTACATGTAGAGACCTGGATCGAGAGATAGATTAGGAGGTTAAATTTCCCACTTGAGAACCCAGTTTATGTAGCAGGCACCACCGGTTTTAACCTTTTTGGAGTAAGTTGCCGTGGTGTATCCAAGCTCAGATTAGTTCCCAGATTGGACTTTTAATCTCTGGTTTCAAAAAATAATATCTCGAGTCAGTTCTGTTAGTGCCGCTCGATAAAGACGCAAAATGGTGATGGGAACAGATTAAACGGAAAAATTTATGTTTTTTTTTATTGAGGTGGTATGTTTGGCGTTTTACAAAAACGGTGAACTTAATACTGAGTAAGTTTGCAATAACAGTTCTTCTGAGAACCTCATGGCCACTATTGGAGACAGAAAAGTCAGTGCTATACTCGCTAAAATAAGAGACAGCCAAACGCTACTGATCTCGCCAATTACATCTCCCCAGAAAAACAGTCAGCCTCCAAACGTTCCATTGTGAAGGCACGCACTAAACGAGCCAGTGCAGAATTAAACGACGACTTGCTTTCGTCAAAACTAGCTTCCAAAAAGTACTAAGAGTTACCAAACGACCACGACATACCTTTGTAAAAACCAACCCCTAAGCGTCTTAAGACGGAAGCGAGTTTCAACAACCTGCGGAACACAATTGCCTACATAGAGACACGGCGCGCAAAAACAAAGAAATTCTTTTTTGTTCTTGTATGGAGGGTTTAAAGGAAGGAAGAAGGAGTTAAAGTCGTCTGTCAAAACTGTACGAAGAGCATTATCAGTCAAAACCTTCGATACCAACAGCAGTTTTGAGAGACCTTATAAGACTGATTCATAAAGAAAACTCTTTCAAATTCAACCACAAAAACTATTTTTAAACACTCGCAATATCTTTGGGAAAAAAATGACGGTAGCTTTTGCAGTCATATTCATGGCTCCTATTGAGAGACAGCTACAAACTAGCTACAAGCCCACAGAAACCATTTCTTTGGAAAAGATACATTGATGACAGTTTATGCGCGGACCATTCCCGAAACCGAAATCAACAACTTTATTGATTTTGCTAACTCATTCCGCGCCACCTTTAGATTCATGAATGAAGAGTCATCAAAAAATAGTTGTTTTTCTCGATACTGAAGTGTTTTAAGGACCGAGGTTTACCGATAGCAAAATCGTTGATGTTTAAACATATTACAAGCCGACAGAAACGTTCCAAGATACACACTTATCTTCACGCCACCTTCTCAGTGTTAACCCTTTACACCCTAACATCAGTATGCATATTCTCCACACTGTTCTCTATACATTTCCTAAGGTGCTGACAAAGGAGAATTAGCTTAATGATCCAGAGCTTCTGTGGTTGTTGATCATTTCCATAATTCTCATGACCTTACTGCGTGACTAAAGGGTAATATTGTAATGAGAAATTAGATGCTAGTCACTATTAAGGGCTAAACGGTTAAGAAGGGTTTTGTAAAATGAGAGGCACTACGCTTAATGAGAACAAACTCGGTTTTTGAGCTAAGGAAGAAAGAATTTGTATCTCGCCTTATAGAACGAGGCTACCCTCAGGACCTCGTCCAAAAGGTGTTTGCCGATGCCCAGTTCTCATCACGCAACACGGCTATGAGAAACAAATCGAAATCGTCTAAAAAGATTTTTCCGTTCGTTAGGACTTTCAACCCTGCTAACCAGAATGTCAAAAAGATTCTTATAAAACACTGGCACCTTATTTCAGGCAACTATAACCTGGCGCAAATGTATCCTAATCCGCCAATTGTTGCTAATCGGAAGGTCAGGTCTTTAAAAGATTCTCTTGTTAGAACAACTTCCTTCACTTCAATTACACAACAGCATTTTAGAAGTTATACACGATAAGGGTCTAGTGAAAATACTACAGGACAACGCAATATTTTCAGCCCTTCCCTTCTAATAAATCCTAGTTCCTTCGGATAACTCCTCCGTCGGAATCTACGCTTCTATGCAGCACGGAATGCATAGGCCTAAGATTTGATTCGTCATGGGGACTCAGGATCTTTTTCTTTGTCGTGAGCTCGTGACAAGACGGAAAACCATCTCTTTTTTTGCGGAGAATTTTCATGCTGTACCATAGACGTTAATGCGCGCCAAATTTACTGTAAAAACTGAATATGACATGATTAGATAATTTTTACGAGCAACACCGCTCTTCTAACATGAGAGTGCGATCCCTTAAGGTGGGGGAGAGGGATTTGTGGTGTGTGAAAGGTGCTAAAGATGGCTATCATATGATACAGAGCTTAGCAGCCTACCCTTTTTCATAAATTGTAAAATCATTTTATAACAAAAGGAACCTAAAGTGATTCTAAGTCGCTCGGTTACTAATCAAAAATGAAAACTGAAATCTACAACTCCGATGTATTGCTCCCCGTTTTCATTCCAGAAATTTTCCTTTTGATCACCAGCACACATTGTGTTGCAGGTATCTAAAGCTTTTGTAGATTCTTTTTTTTTATATATATCTTTGTATTCAATGCATTGAAATGTATTATTTGTAGTTTTACTGATGCTCGCCCGTTCTTGTTTTCTGTCCCACAAAACTATCTTAAACGAATGCGCTCAAATCGAGGCAAATCCCCATGAAAATATGGCCCAAATACATTTTACGGAAACGAATACACAGATTCATTCAAAGCACGAAAATTTTATTACCAAGTACGGCTCAAGGAAGCGAGGTATGGGAAAATACGGACCAAGTAAATACCAATCAGAACGCTCGGATTTACCTCAGGACTACCTTGCCATATGATATTCCAGTATAGTGGTAGCAATATATGATATGCGTTATTGACCAAACTTGTCCGGCCAAGATGACTGGATATTGGCCGAGTTCTTTTTTTTTTTTTCGCGTTTTTACGGACTGGGACGAAGACGTGGTCCATAAAAAAGCAAAAAGAGAATGAGGTTAATATCCAGCCATCTTGACTGAACAAGCTCGTTCAATAAAGGATGGAAGAAAGGTTTCGTTCTGTTAAAAATCAATGAATAACTTGTTTAGTTCGAGAGCCGGGAAAAAACAAGGCAACTGCGTTTGTAATACAGTATAATACCCACAAGAATTGTTATATTTTCTTTGGTTTGTCTGTCTTCTGCCGCTTTTTGCGACTTTATGGCAGACATTGTCCAAGAATTACAAACTTGTTAAGTCACAGGCGGCCTAAGCTCACGTCTCGAGAAAAAGCCAACGATGAATTCATGAACGTGTCACGCGTTGTGTGACTCGGTGTTAAGTTACGGGAAGAACCGTTGAAAATTTATCCATGTCATTGAAAACAGTGATGGTAAAGCAAGCTTAAAATGGCAGAAATCGCGAGAAACTACGACGGATACACAGGGCATGAGTAAGTTTTATTGATTTACGTGTAAAATATTCATATTTCGAAATATTTATCGTTGTAAATCGACCATATTTCGTTCCCCATACTGTTTCTTATAACGTGTTCAAATTTTCAACGGTTCCTCCCGTAACTTAACGCCGAGTCACACAACGCGTGACGCGTTCATGAATTCATCGTTGGCTTTTTCTCGAGACGTGAGCTTGGGCCGCCTGTGGTTAAGTTTGCTCCACGCAATTTTTTTCTTTCGCGCGATCAACGCGGCCAATCCCCAACGGGCAAGATAGACCCATCTTGCCCGTTCGGCTAGCCAATCAGAACACAGGATTTGCTTCATATTGTCCACGGGCGCAGCCGACGATAGGATAAATGTCAAAATAGAAATTCTTTAGTTTCTTTTTGAATAGATAGGCTGCCGAACTTGAGATATTCATTATAAGTGCCAGACTTTGGAAGAGCAAAAGAAGTTGGGAAGCCAGTCTAGTGATGTAAGTATAAATACTCTTGACAGGAGTGAGAAAGCGGGAGAAAACGGAGGTAAGGAGGTGTTTATGGAATTTGTATCTAGAATCTGATAAAAAAAATTGGACATGATCAAAAAATTTCATGATTACCAAGGATTTAAAGAAAGGGCTGATATGTTTAAAGAATGAAGAGAAAGTAATAATACGAATTACATGTTTTTGAAGAAGAAATACGGGATGGAGATTGAACTCATAAGAATTACCCCACGATATTAAAGAAAAAAATAAAAGAGAGTGTACAGGAGCGTAATATAAATCGACGATGATATTGATATTCACATGATATCTGCTTTAAAAGATGAATTAAATAGAATCATTCTACGGACTCTTCACCTTTAAACTCGTCCTCATTAAAAATTAAAACACGTGTACTGATTCCACTGATAAGACTTGACACTTCCAGTTCAAATTTCCCAGCCCGCCCAAGCAAGGTTCAAACTCCCCT